TTTCCAGTTCAATACTCCTAAGTCCTACGGTACCACCATCATCCCTCCAGGCATGCAGGAAGAAGGAAGGGAGAAGGAACCTTCCAGTTCTGCCAGGAAATTGAGGCAGAGCTGGAGGATCCAACTGTTGGCTCCTTAAGGACAAGTTGGGATGGAAGCCCAATCCAACCTTCTTTTTATGGAGCAGTTAATGTGATAACATCTAAGAGAGAAGGAAACTTTATACAGACAGAGGGAAATCTTAATTCTCAAACAGACCAGAGGCAATTACCAAAATTATAGCAATGGAATTGTTTTTTTGCAGTCAAGCATAATTATGGAAAGTCTATTGGAAAGAAAGCTTAGGCTACGATTTGCATTTCAATTAATTTTCAAACCTTCGTGTGGAGAATTGATGGCCAGAATTGAGAAGTACAGGAACTACCAGACACTGAAATACACTCATCAATATAATATAGGATTTCCAAGGATACAACTCAGACAATGTTCCAGTGCTTAGGGCTTTTTGGTTTTTTTCCAATTAGTAGAAAATGGATAAAGATGTAGAGGGAAAGAAAAAACCACCAGTGCTACCACCTGGCTCTGCTGGGTGGTACAACAGGACGAGAGGGAATGGGAAGAAACTGGAATGAAGGAAGCTCCACCTGAAGGAGAGGAAGAACTTCCCTGTGAGGTGACCATGCACTGGAACAGGCTGCCCAGAGTGGGTGTGGAGTCTCCTTCCCTGGGGATAGTGAAAACCCACAATCCCAGGGATGGTGGACACAATCCTGGACTACCTGCTCTTGGGGATCCTGCTTGAGCAGTGAGGTTGGTTTAGATGACCTTTGAGTCCCTTCCAAGCCCAGCCATTCTGGGATTCACAGGCAGCTGAAGCACTGCACGATGGGCACATCCAAGGCTCCTGAGAATATTTTCCTTCCTGAGGTTTACCAACAATGCCCAAGACTGACAGCAAACCCTCGGGATATCATCCCTGCCAATCTGACAATCCCAAGTTATCACTTCCACACGTTAAAAAGGAACATTTCTGTCTTAAACTATCTGCAAAGTTCTGCCCAATTGCCTTACAACTTTATTGATTATAATTGGCTCTTGCTCCTTCAGCCCAAGAATTTCACACAAAATTCCAATTACACAATCCAGCATGAGACAGCCAGAGATACAGACCCTCTAACAAGCTTAGCAAAAATCAAAGGGCTAAATCAAAAACTGGCTCACACCAAGTCTATTCTTTGTGCAGTCAACCAAGACTAATTAATGCTTTTAATGGCAGTTTACCCCTTTTGGCGCCATAAATCAGAGCAGGCAGCTTTTCTGAATTAACAAAAGAATCTGTGAAAGGTGTAGCTCATTAAGCACACTCCCAAATTCAAATGCACTTAATCAGAACCAGGTACATTGAGCAGGAGTGTAGTCCAGGAGCAGAGCAATCTGCAGGCTGTACACAGGGAACATTCATTCATCAACACAAACAAGGCTGGCACGCCAGGGACAGGGGCTGAATTATACATCTGAGAGAAAGGCCCCTGCTTCCAGCATGGCTTTTGTGAGGGCAGGAATGTGGAGAACTCTGTGGGAAGGCGCTGTGGAAAGGTGGGGGGGACAAGGAGGATGTTTCCCATAAGCTCACCTCAGCCACAGAGCCCTTGAACAGAGCACACTGCTGCTGCTGAGCTGCTGGAGCAGATCCAGACAAGGCACCAAGGAGATCAGAGGGATGGAGCAGCTCTGCTGGGAGAACTGGGATTATTCAGTCTGGAAAAAAAGGCTTTGGGGTGACCTAATTGTGACCTTCCAGGACCTGAAGGGAACCTACAGGAAAGATGGAGACAGACTCTTTACGAGAGCCTGGAGTGACAGAACAAGGGGGGCTGAAGCCTTCTCTCAAACTGACAGACAGGTTTAGATTGGATCTTGGGAAGAAATCCTTCCCTGTGAGGGTGGGGAGGCCCTGGCACAGGGTGCCCAGTTAAGCTGTGCCTGCCCCATCCCTGGCAGCATTCCAGGCCAGGCTGGAGTACCCTGGGATAGTGGAAGGTGTCCCTGCCCATGGCAGGGGGTGGCACTGGATGGGCTTTAAGGTCCCTTCCAACCCAAACCATTTGGGCATTCTATGATGTACCTAAATAAGCTGTAATAGATCACATAGGGAAACTTCCTCCTTGTATAAGGTGATGAATTTATAAAGATTAATGACCCAGCATTTCATCCTAGGTTACACTCTTGCAAATACTTTTCTGAGTCAGACCCACTCCTCTAAAAATTCCCATTTTAAAATATTTTTTGCCACAGTTTCTTCCCAATATTCCCATCCATCCCTGCCCTCTGGCAGTGGGAGCCATTCCCTGTGTCCTGTCCCTCCATGCCCTGTCCCCAGTCCCTCTCCAGCTCTCCTGGAGCCCCTTCAGGCCCTGCAAGGGCTCTGAGGTCTCCCTGGAGACTTCTCCTCTCCAGGTGAGCACCCCCAGCTCTCCCAGCCTGGCTCCAGCCCTGGAGCAGCTCCGGGGCCTCCTCTGGGCTCTCTCCAGCAGCTCCAGGTGCTGCTGATGTTGGGGGCCCCAGAGCTGGATGCAGCACACAACTTGGCTTGACAGAAATCATTTTCCATATCACATGTTCTCTGAAAGGAATTTTGTTCTCCAAAACAGAGCTGGCAATGCAGGAAAACTTCAGATCTGTGAACAAAGGATTCGCTCCTGCACTAAAAAAATTCACTAAATGATGTTCCCAACAGCATCAAAGTGTCCAAGAGCTGCTGGCAAAATGCTCCACTTCAGCTCTGGATTCAGTACATTCCCAGCCCAGTGAAGACCCCACCAAACTGGCAGAAATGCTCAGGAGATTTAAAGTCCAGAAATTTTCCACATGAGTTCAGAAACGTTGAGGAGCAGAAGTATAAAGTCCAGGCCCAGTTCCAAATTCCACTCACACACCCTGGATAAAAACCAGCCTAATGTAAAAGCACATTTAGAAATATTTACATCAAACCAAACCATTACAGAGATAAGAGAGGCATTTATAGAAACACATAGATTTTACACACACACCGTGTTTAACTATTTAATTGCTGGAATTTCAATTAGGATGTGGGGGAGTGAGGTATTTCCCAAGCAGGAAACAACCTAAGTAAGCTAAGACATAGAGCACTCACACATTCAAGTTTAACTCAATTTCCTCCACATTTTGATTTCCGAATGAACACTGAGTCTAACAGGGAGGGGTTCAACTCAAGATAAAGTCACCCAAAAGTAAATATTTGCTGGAGATCCCCAGCAGGGCTATCACACCTGGAGAGCAACCTCGATCTGCTTGGTCAGCCAAGTCTCCACAGGCTCCATCAATTCCACTCTTGAGCTTCAAATTTCTTAATCCAGAGCTGGATTGGAGCAGGAGCCTTTGGAGCAGGAGCTTTCTTATGCAAAGCCAGCACTCCACATATTCCCACTTGAGACACAATCTGGTTCTCTGGATCTCTCACCCATCACTTCGTCTTACTTTGTGTCCCTTCTCCCACCTCACCACCCACCAAACCCATCCTTGGCTTTGTTTCTCCCCTTCCATATCCCTGGATTTCTGCTTCTCAGATCCCAAAAAAGCTGCACAGCCCAAATGGGGAAAACCATACAGAAAAAAGGGATGGGAGCAGCTTCAAAGTACCTTTTTTTTTTTTTTTCATTTATCCTTTTTTCTAGCATGAAGAGGGGAAAAAGGGGAAGCAGGAGATGGACAGGGGATCACTGTTGTTGCCTCAAACAAGGAAAAGCTTTTCTGAAATCCTTGGCATTTTCTGTCCCATCCCACCTAAGCTGGGGTGGTGGGAGAGGAAGAAATACCCAGATTTTGTCTGTACCCAAAGAGGAGGCATTGATTTAGGGCAGCTTTCCCAAAGCAGGGCTGGAGTGCTAAATTATTGTGAGGATAAGGGTCAGAGTGTGCCCAAAGGTTTGATCCCAACGCAGTGCAGCACACCCAAGAGCAGCTGACATTTAAAGTTCATGTCATTAAGTGAGCAGCAAAAGATATAAAATGGAAAAAAACATAGAGGCAAGCCTGCTTTTTCCATATTCCTGCACAAGAACAGCTGGATGGGGTCAGACAGACACTTCAGCACCCCTGTGTCTTCTCTGCCCAACAGGAAAGTGTGAATCCCTGAGGGAAAATCGAAGGGCAGGCACACAGGGACATTTTCCCAGCATACTTTCCAGAGGGATTTCCTGAGGGGATATGTTCCTGTTTCACAGCTCCTGTAGATCATGTTCTCTCACTGTTATAACATATTAAATTGTTTTACACATATATATATATATAAAATATTTATATATATAAAAATATATGTACATGCTCTAAAGGCTTGACCTGCTCAGGTCTCATCATGCTGGGCTCTATAAACCAAAATAAGGAGTTAAGATAGAAACTGCTCCAATCAAATTACACTGCAAAGTTTCTATTTGAAAATACTGTTTCCAGCTTTCTTCTCCTAAGAAAGAGAAACTATTAGAAAACAATTTGCCTGTCTCCAGGCAAATGACAGAAGTTTACATCAGGAATGGTGTCTGTGCCAACCCGGGGATTTTGACCCAGCTAATGAACACAAGTCTCCTTTTTAATATAGAACAAAAATGTATTATTTACTAGGAAGATATTAAGACTAATAAACACTAAAACAAGAACCCCTCCCACAATTCTTTATAGGAGCAGCACATAAGTAGTGTGTGTTTTACTCAGGCTGCTGAAGACCTGGTGTTTATTAACTTTCCAAATCAATACAATAAAACACACCAGGCACAGAGTGTTGCTGGAGCTGCAGCTTATGCATTTCTTGACCCAGAAATCACTTCTCATTTGAAAATGTAAAGTGCTTCTGTAGCAAAGTGAAAGAAGAGTATCAAACAGCAACAGCTGCAATCTCCAAGGCTTTCCTGTCTGGAGGGAGCAGGGAAAGGGTTTTGGGAGGAGCAGCTATAACTGAATGGCACAAAGACAGGATGAATTGGTACCTCTTGGATACGAGCTTCCTTGGGATGGAGATAATCCGGAGAGGAGTGTGCCTGGGCAGGGAGTCTTCACAGCATTCCAGAGCTCTGCAGCAACAAGGACAGACAGAGAGAGAGAAAAACACCCGTGAGGCTCTGTGGAAAACCTGCTGGAACAAAACAAAACACTCTTCCAGCTCAGAGTGGTCTTCACCTCCACTGGAGCAGAAGGAGAAATGGGACATGTAAGAAATGCAGGCAAAAAAAGGAGGAGCGCTGGAACCGCAGGGTACGAGGAGAGGGAAGGGATACCCGAGCTGGCAATAAGACCAAGGCCTTCCCAGCTTCCCAGAGAGAGAAAACAAAGTCCAAGCTTTCATTTAAATATTTGTTTACCAGCTATTTGCCAGGATTTGGGACTAAACAGGTTTTAGCCTGAGTTTTACATGTTACTCCTACATCCTCCCTTCCCAGCTGACACAAAAGCTCTGAGAACTGAAAATGAAATCCCTCAAAATGAAGTGGAGCACCCAAAAAAAGCTCCACATGCTTTATGCATTATAGGGAGGAACAGAAACCCTACTGTTCCCAAAGCAGGACCAGCTCCTTGGAACAGTTGTTTATTTTAATCAACCCAGTACCAAAAGGTTTACATTAAATATTTTTTCATGGTTTCTAACCACTGATCCTGTATTAGTTTACATTCACTCAAAAAACACTCTGGGGGAGAAAGCAGGAGGCAGAAAACATTGAATCCAGTAAAACAACTGAGGTTTTTTAGGGAGTGCTGGCACATCCCACCTTTCCCTGTAGGATTACACCACCAGACCCTTCCAGCCAGCTAATGAAACAGCATGAATTTGTAAATGAACAGAAAACAGTAAAATCTTCATTTTTACCGAATCTTTCTTCTTCCTGCCTCCTGCAGGAAGCCACCACCTGCCATCAGAGATGGCATCCTTGGAGGGAAGTCAAAACCCACCCTGCTGAAGCTCCAATGGCCCAATAATCCCAACCCTGGTGCTAGCAGCAGCCTGAGCACACTCAGGAAAACGGGTCAGGAACATCTCCACCTGTTGCTCCCAAGGGTGTTTGACTTCAGTATTTCTACATTATAAGAAGCATATTCATTGCTTGGAATTTAATTCTGGTTTCAGGCTTTTTGACTTGTTTTTATGGCCCTTCAATTCAGAGATAGAACCCTAAAATATCTTCAGGAGAGAGAGGAAAGCATAAGTGAATTTCAGCAGAGACAAGGACTTGACAAATCTCATCCCATCAAGCTCTGCAGTGGCAAATTAGTCTTTCTCAGAGCACATTCTGTACTCAGAGTAGCCTCAGTACTTCAGGAGGCACCAAATATAACACAGCCCCATTTTAACTTCCTTCCAGGAATACACACACTCATTTATTAAGAAGACGTGGGCTGCAGCTCCATTTCCAACAGCTTCAGTAACGTTTTGTAAAATTAAACAAATTACTCCTTTTGTGGCAAGTAAGAAGCTGAAAATAAGTGTTCAAGCAAATGGGGGAGAAAACCACCTCCCTCACATCTTCCTGCCCCCTTGGATTTTGGGAAAGTAAGCCTTGCCTGCTGCACCAGGCTCAGCATCAACCACAGGATCACCAACCACTCCTTTGCTGCTTTCACACCTCACTCCCCACACCTTTACCATCATTATTTCATTTCAGAGCTGCTCTGATACCTCAGTTTGCTCCAAGTCCCCATTTTGGGATATTTTCACATCCTCATGTTTGTATAAACCAAGGAAGTCCATAGCTCTTGCTGACAAGCACTAAAGGTGAGTGTCCAATGGTGCTGAACATCCAGAGGGTTTCCAGGATTTGGCAGGAGGACAGCACTGCCACAACCTTTAATGCTGAGGGATTCTCCAAACATTCCCCCTTTTGTTCAGCTCTGGCTGCTACAGAGAGAGAGAAAAACAGTCCCCACCTCTCATTAACGTTGGTGCTGCATCTTTCTTTAGCTGCAACAACATCAATACCTGCTTGCATTGTGCTGCCACTCAGCAGATTAACCCTTTTTTGGATTTTTTTTTGTTCCTTTTCTGTCTTTTCCTGACCAGAAGTCAAAATGATTCAGTTCAGAGGGAGCGGATGCTGCTGCTGCAGAGAGAAGCTGTGAAAAGCTGCAGAGAAGGAGGCTGTCCAGCTGCCAGCACACATCCCTGCCACTGCTCAAAAACCGGTAGGGAACAGGCAGGATTGACCAAATTTGGATGTATTTGCAGAAAAACAATCAGTCCCAATCAGTGTCTTTGAGCAGAAGTGAAAAGACATTCATTAAAGAAGGAGAAAAACCGAATGAATTTGTGAGGAGGTAAGCCTTTGGAAAATCTAGGGAAATAACACAGCGCTGAGAAGTCCTGTTGGCACAGCCTTGCTCATCAAGAGTGTGATCTGGGATTTAGGCAGGGAAAACTTTAAGAACACAGAAAAAACCAGCCCTGCCTGCCTGTGGGGCAACCGTGCCAGGGCCTCAGCACTCTGACAGCCAAGAATTCCTTCCCAATATGCCATGTAACCCTGCCCTCTGGCAGTGGGACACCACTCCCTGTGTCCTGGCACTACGAGCTCCCATAAAAAGTCCCTCTCCATCCTTATCAGGTTAAGCAAAGACACCAAAGCAGCTTCCTGCAGCCCAGAATTCCTCCTTCCATTCCCACTTTCTTCTTGCTATGAAAGATATTAGATCCCTTAATATTTCCTAGGATTACTGCAGCTACTAAGTAGGGAAGCTCGTTCCCTAACATCTTCATCAGCTCCATGTGCTATTTCAAGCAGCAAAACAAGATTTTTAATTCTATCCTCCCTCCTATGCCCCAAATTTAGTTTTATTATTTTTAGTAGCTGCACTTCACTGATGATCTTTTTACAATTATTCTTCTATATTTCTCTTTTAATCCCTTATTTTCCTTCTTTCCACAAACTTGGACTCCAGTGGTAGGAGCTGGGTAGACAGATTATAAAATAGATTGGATTGAGTTAATTAGGATGTGGTGATTAAAACACCTGCTTTGGTAGATTGCAGAGGGTTCTGATAAAATAGTATAAAAATACACTGCACAACTGCTTATCAAATGAAGATAAAAACATCCAGCAAATATCTGACATTCTGCAGGGTTAAATCCTATTCCATAACATTTTGGGTTTAGCCCTCTGAGTAACCAAACCCCACAAAATGGAAAAGGGAAAAGTTCCCCAAAAGTCAACATTCACTTTCTTTACTGCCTGTTTTCAACAATTTCCCCAAACTTCTTCTAGAATTGACTCTGGAATAATTATTTTCACTTGTGCAAGTTATATATTATAAGGCACCTTGGGGTTTCTAAGTCACAAATGACTTTGTAATGAAAAGAAAACAATTTCATTATCTAAGATTATTGTTAATTGAAGGAAATATTGACTCTGCTACTGACAGCAGTCAACCTCCAGAAAGTGCAACATTTAAAATTACATGCAGCCGTTGTCTTAGAAATAAAAATAAACCTTTCAGTGAGAGCAGCTTCAGTGAGGCCTTTTCCTCTATTAAAAAAATAAAATAAAATCAAAGCAAAACACTCCAACAGAAGCCTTCCCTGCATTACAAAAGACGGATTAATGAGAATCTATTTGGACACTGGGAAAAGCCCTGGCAGGTTCATTGTGAAGGTTAATTCAGACACCTTTACTCACACATGGAATGGAATTAAAGAAACAGAATTTAAAGGCAATAGTGAAGGCTGCAGTGTCAAGCTATGAGCAAGGAGACACCACAGAGAGGATATCAGAGACATTTGTCATGGAGCCTAATGCACTTAGGACCCAAATTCTGGAAGAATTGGGCAAAATGTTAATGAATATATACAAATTATCCAGAATGGGTCTGAATTCCATTCTGCTCAGGGCACATTTAAAAAAAAACAAACCTAAAGATCCACCTGGAGCAACTGGAAGTGAAAACATCTGTGCAAATACCTAGCAGGAAATAAAGGCATGGAAAGAAATAATTTTGGAAGGCAGAGAACATTGCAGGAAACCACAGGGTCATTCCTGGCTGGAAGCACCTTCCTGTCTTTCCTCTCCTTGAAAACTGGCAGTTGCCTTTGAGCCATCAGGAGTGGCCCAGAGCTGTATGAGACCTGGGTGAGGGGAGGGATCCAGGTTAAAAATAACCTGGGTTTGCTGTTCCCTGATCTGGTTCACCAGCTGGCCCTGGGAGAGCTGGACCAGCAGAGCCAGGGAGCCCAGCACTGGGAACAGGCACAGGAGGAGGGAGGCTCCCAGGGACAGCTTCACCCTGGAGTCAGGAAATACAGGACACAGCCAGAACTGGGATGGAGCAAGAGGGGCAGCACCAGCAGGAATTCACCCCTGGATTCCCCAAACACTGATGATCCTCAAGAGGGAAAGGCTCCCAGGGCAGCTCCAGCTCCTGAGCTTCCTCCTCTCAAAGACCCATCTCCAGCACTCAGCTGGTGGAAGAACTGGAGTTGTTGGGAATCACCAGCAATGGTTTGGCCACTCAGGAGGGGAAGGAGTTTTTAAGGAAGAGGGTGAAAAGGAGCACGTGCTTCAGCAGAACCTTGCACACATCCACCACGGGAAAACCTCCCTCCAGGAAAACTCCATGGAACAACACACGATGACTCAACACCTCCAGGTGTGCAATAAGCTTCTCAAATTAGATGGTTTTGAAACTCCAGAGTCTTAAATATCCCAAGACCCTCCTTCATTTTTTACATGCAGGATTGAAGTGAGAACTCAAGAGGCAAGAAAAGCAAGGAAAGTATTAAACTGGCAACGTTGGGCATCGTCCTTTCTCCAGGAACATCCTGTTGGCTCAGCTCCCAAGCAAGACAAGTGACACACATCAGGACTCTGAATGTCACCTCTGACCACACCTCCCTTTGACATCACTTCCACTGTATCCTTAGAATAACTTTCCCACTTGGAGGATGCCAGCAGAAGGCCAGAAGGGCAGAGCGAGCTTAGGAAAAGCAACAAATCCCATCTGCATTTTCACTTACTCACAGTTACTGATTAAAAAAAAAAAAAAAAAAAAAAAAGAGTCTAATCCTCTGGAAAACTGGAGAGGTTGCTTCTGG